ATGACTTGAGGGTGAGTAATTTATGGGCTAATTTTCATCTTTGGGTGAACTAACCCTTTAACAGGGTAAGACCCCGATCAGACAGAACACGTTTTTTTGCAGTGAGAGGCGCCTTTTTAAAATTGTTTTCTATTGGCATTGAGCGTTTTGCGTGCTGTTTATGCGCCCCGGACGCCTCGTGTTTTAGCCGGCTGCTGCGCCTCGCGTTTTTGCAGGAGTGCTCTAAGCGCCTGAAGTTGGAAAAACCAACTCTGAGCAGAAAAGCGCCCGACGTAATTTGCGTTTTTTTCCCTTGTCCAATCGAATGAATGGAGAGGCGGGCCTTCCGTTGTGCTGATGAAAGTTTACAGTTTCAAATTCAGTGGTTGCCTAGCAACATAAAATCCCCAGCACCCTGCTGTTTTTTTCTTAAATCAACCAAAAAAAGGCAGTGTGGTGCGCCTCGCGTTTTCAGACCTGAAAAACGCGTTCTGTCTGATCGGTGCCTAACACTTTAGGGACCAATTCTCACTATTAACTATTTGCTTATTAGCATGCATATTACTTGCATATTGGCTGTTAATTAGTACTTATAATGCACATACCTTATTCTGCATGACCATATTTCAGATCCCTTAATCCTACCCCATACCTAAACTAAACAACTACCTTACTAACTATTAATAAGCAGCAAATTAGCTTATTGAGGCAAAAATCATAGTTAATAATTAATTGTGAGAAATGGTCCCTAAACTAAAGTGTGACCATTAATGGTATCGTAGCATTTTTACAGTATTTTACTGTTAAAATTGTGATCATTTTTTATAGTGTTGATTCTGTAAGACACCAAGGTGAAGAAACTGGTTTTTGTTACTGTAGCTCAGCATTCTGATATATTTAGGCTCTAGTTGTGCAAAATCTTGTCTATCTTTCTCCTTTTGGCACTCTATCTCTTATTCTTTCTCTTCATCTGTACTGTAACTGTTCCCTGAGGAATAACCTCTAACCTGATTCCCATATGCAACCATATCCAGATCCTGATTGAACTCTTGGCCTCCGGCCTACACATTGTTTCTTGCCTCCACCTGAACACCCTAGAACAGGTACTGCCCATAACCCGATCCAGCCTTTGTTTTCTGCTCCCTGACTCTAAAAACACATCTATTATTTGCTTGCTGACAAGTGTTTGGGCAGTAATCCATGCCAGCTGCTAAACCAATTCTTTCCTTCTCTCAGTCTCAACCATTGACTTTGTCACAAAAAGTTTTCTATGTGGAAAACCAAGCCGTTAAGTTTAGCTTTGCTGTGTTGCATTGAGGCAGAAAATAAGGCTGTCGTGCTTCCTTTTTTTTCTTTTTTCTTCACCAAACACTTCAACACCTTTTTTGGACTCAGTAGTGCAGGGTGATATATTGAATATTACATTTATTCAATAATTCTTTTGGTGATTTTTATAAAAAATTAGTAGGATAGTAAACATCATAGTTTTCATAATTTACTTTTAAGTTTCATAATGATTTTATTTTACATGCTATTTTAGACACTTTTGACCCAGCTTATAATTTTAATTTATAGTATTTTAATTCAGTATATAATTTTAATTTAATTGAGTATATATATTTAGTATATAATTTAAATAGGTATTTTTAATATGAAGGTAAAAATAAAGGACATTTTACTATTTTTCTAAACAATAAATTAATATTAAATATATTTTTTGTTATATTGTTATAGAAATAAATGACTTTTGGATAACATTTTTTAAAAATGAATATATATACAATATTTCTCACATTATCACAGTTTATTCACTATAGTTTACAAAATGGTAATAAAATATGACAAGAACTCAAGAGTTAAACTGTGTCAGAACAAATTTATCTTGATAATGTCAGATAACTTTGATAGAAAGGTATGTAATGGATTACAATCAACCAAAAATTATTCAGCTGTTAAATTTAAGTACAAAATTAGATAATACCAAATTACCAAGCAATGCTTAATTTTGTTCAGTCTGTGGTGTAAAAAGCCATTAAAGAAAAACACTTAAGCCAAACATGGTCAAAGTGTCTGAATAATTTTTGGTCCCAATTTTTTTTTCCGATTTTACTGGTAGTCCACTGTATGAAGAATTTTTGGGTATAATATGTCACAGTTTACTAATTTTTGCTATCCTCAATGAACTATAGTGTTCTGCACCACTAGTAAAAAAATATCAAAAATTATATCTGATGTCTGAATAATTTTTTATTTGACTGTATATATTTGCCCAGTCCTAGTTTTAGTATTACACTGCCACACAACTGGTCATTGAATAGATCTTATGTCGAGAGAGCAGGTAATAAAAGACATCGGAGGCAAGTTATTATGTTTGTGAAAGGAGGTATATTTACAGTCTCCATACACCTGTCTTTCTCTTTCCTGAGCCGCCTAATTGAAGTACAGTGGGTACGGAAAGTATTCAGACCCCCTTCAAT